TATGCTGACGTGTGTGTGTGTGTGTGTGTGTGTGTGTGGGTGGGTGTGTGGGTTCTGGGTTATTTTTACCCCTCTATTTAAAATCTGCTTGGGGATGCAGAAGCGCAGGAAGTGAGTGTCGTCTCACTTTTCCTCTAGCGAGCTTCATTTCTCCTCCGCAACCCGGCTGTCCTGGTGTACGACTACTACTGTCTGCCATCCGTCCCTCCCATGATGCATCAGTCCTTCCTCCCATTCACACCACACGAACACCAGACAAATTTCAGCCACCTTTTTAAGTCCTCACTGCTAAGAGTGACCGCTTTGAATGAAACGTGAAAAACCGGATGGAAATATAACATTGCTGTTAGTGTTACTGTAATAATGTGAGCAAGGTTACATCTGATCTGTGTGGCTGTGTGATGTTTATGGCTAGTGAGACTTTGAATCTGTTTCCACATGAATCCACCTGAAGGCAGGTAGCTGCTCTAGAATGAAGAAAAATTAATGTTGTGAAACACAAATTTATTATATTATATGCACAGCTGTTTTCTACTTGTTTGAATACCTGTAATGAATCGAGTTACAGGCTAAAGTTAAGCAGATGGAAGCAGTGGCCCCTCAGTCTTATCTTGGGGACTCTTTTATGAGGTTCCACCACCAAGGTGTGAAACCACGAGTCTAAGGAAATAGATATACTTCCATGTAAACCAACACATTCTTAATGCTGTATTTTGCTGCAAACCTTTGTTATCAAGTTGTAACCTTTGTAAAAAAAAGGAAATATAATAAATTCTGTCTTTGTGATATATATATATATATTCATAATATACAGTATACCTGTTTTCCAAAAGGTTTTTAAACTGCACTCCTGTTCCTTACTGACAGCAGTGTCTCTTTAATGCAGACCTCATGTTGCATCAGCAGGTGACGGAGCCGTATTGCCCCTCCTCCGCGCATATCAATATTTGTCAAAAGAAACAAGGCTGCTCTCCAGCGTGTACCTGTTGACCCGCTGCAACCTGGCGACCAATGCCGTCACTGACACACACAAAAACAACAAAGTAAAGGCACATCAGAGTTGAACAGTGACAGGTGAGGGTAAAGATGTTTCCCCGGAGAAACACACAACACTCTGTGGTGTTTTTTCCTCCCAGGAGGACAGCATGGTTCACATTTTCTCCTGGAAGATGTCATTTAGATTTTTTGATTTTTATACCCTTGTACCTCTTTGTGTTTACACCAGTCAAGTTCCTCAGCTGAAGATTTCTGCTCTTGAAAATAAAAGCAAAACTAAGCATTTTTTGCATTATTGATACACCTACACTAATCAAACCAAACTAAATCCATACTGATGTATTCACTTTTGAATAAATGATTTCTCCTTGCCATTCAAAGGTTTTGGAATTGCCTGCCATAAAAGCTTGATTCAGTATGCCCATGTGACTAAAGGGACTATATTTTTGAATGGTCTTTCATGCTTTTAGGTTGTAGAAAGTCCTCTTTATGAATAGATTTCATTTCGTATGAATGATTTGCTTAAAAAGTAATGTTTTGTACATGGAAAACAAAAGGATGTACTGTTCAACCAGACTAATAGGAAGGGCAGAAAGAGACAAAGACCCCTCTGAGCAACAGTTGAAAAGAGAATATAAGAAATCACCAATCAATGGTAAAAGAAACTGGAAGCTTAGCATCACAGGTATTTCCAAATGTTAAAAACGGTAACATACTTTTTTATGGAAGCGAGACTGTACACACTTGGCATTGCTGTAAAACGAGAGGAAAATGTAAATCTACCAAATGGGAAGAAATAAATCTTACATCCAACAAAATCATATTATTGTGCTGGAAAATAGTATTTTTTGACAGTTCTGTTTTGGCTTATCAGAGATTCCTGCTGTGGATTATACACAGTGACCGGGGCATTGTTGGTATATAGACACCATGAAAGACATCATCATATAATACTTGAAGAGTACAACCAAAATTGTATTCACTTCCGATGTATGAGGGTGGCAGCAAAACGACTGAGAGATTAGGTCTGATAGTTGTGTCTTGCAATCCTGTTGTTGTAATCAGTAATCAATGATTGCGATTATTTGAGATGCATGGTTTCCAGTTGCTTTTCGGTTTTAGTTACCTGTTTCCGATCAATTTGAGATATGTCTATACAGTGTGATGTTTGTTAGTGCTTTTTGTGCCCGAAGAAGATCTGATGATCCTGGAAAATGATCTTCTGAAAGCAGCAAATATTCAGGAATGACAAATGTATGATTAAGCATCACTATTATAAACTTACCTCTCTTTCTCTTGCCCTCAGGTACATCCATGCCCTCTACCTGGGCGCCCAGAGTCGTTGGCACAGCAACGGGCCCCGTCGCCACTTCCACTGGCGGCTGATGTTTGAGAGCGCTGACATCACTATGCTCCGCCTCCTAGAAGCCTTCCTGAAGTCAGCTCCGCAACTCGTCCTCCAGCTGAGCATCATGATCCACGGCAACACCGTCCTCCCTCTGCAGGGTGAGCAAGATGCACTTCCTGCTTCACTGTACATTTTGACAGTGTGACAAGTTTTAACTGCTGAAATTTTGGATGAAGGAAATCAGGTCTGGCACCACTTTATTTGGAGGTCCAACTGAAAGTGGGTGCACCTGAAATGTCAGTAATATTCCTTTTTTTGAACAGGAAAACAGTGCGCGCACAACAAAGCACAGTAGGTCAAAGCTGAAGCAGTCTGACTTATTGTCACCATGTTTTTTAATCCAAGCAGAGAACTTGAGTACAATGTTGTTATTACTGATGAAAAGCCTGAAAATAAGATCTATGCTAAGCTATGGAAATAAGACCCAAATTGTAATATGACCAAACTATCCTTTAAGAAAACTGATGGTTATCGCCTTTATTTGACTATTTTATTGGATTTTATCAGCCATAGTCTCTGATTGCTACGAAGGCTTCTGTAGAGAGAGAGAGAGAGAGAGAGAGAGAGAGAGAGCGAGAGAGAGAGAGAGTAAGTTTTCATGAAGTGTGTGTGTTGTGTGTAATGTGTGTGGTGTATGTGTGTGTATGTGTGTTGTGGGCAGATATCAGTAGGAGAGTCTATGCTTTATTCATGTACCTCTTACAAGAAGCAGATTGGTCTTTGATGAATAAAACAAAACATACACTTTTTTTCTCTCTCTCTCTCCTCTCTGCTCTCTCTCGTCTCTACTCTCTGTCATTCTCACACTCATGATAACCACACACAACACACATACACACACACTGTACAGTCTCAGTGTTCACACACACCTGGCAGCACAGAAGTCAAGTGTCTGACACATATTTGAATTGTACAAGACACACAGGGAACCTACAGAACCACACACCAACAGAAAAGCTTACGAACTAACTAATTTGCATTCCCAAATTAGTTCATTCACCCTCAGATTCTATGAGGGGACTTTTTGACGAACTATAACAGCTCAGTGTAGCATGGCCATAGTGCCGATCATCAGAGCAAGTCAGCATGAGGAGCTGCCGTCAGGCTCTTTGTTTCTCCGCTAGAAGTCTGGTGGAGCTTTTACAGTC